AAACACTCCGCTACGCGTCGTGTTTCATATGTGATAAAATACTCCTACGCGTGCTTTAAATAGTACATATATATATATATATATATATATATATATATATATATATATATATATATATATATATATATATATATATATATATATATATACACTGTTAATTTCGGGGAGTTAATTTAACTCCGGTGGAGTTATACTGTACCTCAATTAACTCCAAATGTGGAGTAAAATTAGGTTGAAAATAATACCACTGGAGTTAAATTAACTCCCTGAAATTTACAGTGTATATATATATATATATATATATATATATATATATATATATATATATATATATATATATATATATATATATATACTGTATATATATATATATGTATATATATATATATGTATATATATATGCGCACGCTCACTGCTTGCAGTTTGAGCACTCTGGCAATGGTTTGATGTCCCACATTCGTGAGACATCAAAGGTAACTATTAATGCTAGTTACTTTCGTCTTGCTCATCAGCACTGCACTGATGAGGCCCAAAAGATTTTAATATATATATATATATATATTAAAATCTCCATGCAGAAGCGCTTCACAATTTATGAAGACCGGAATAAGGCCTCTTTTATTGCTAAAGCCTCCAGTAAATTTAGCTGGAACAATGGTTACACTTATGTTATTTGAGATGAATATCTAGGGATTCAACTATTTGAAAAATACAAGTAAAACTTCGACGTTTCGAGCGAAGGCCCTTTGTTGGGAAGTTATAGTTCTGCTAATCTCTTAACGTTGAGACTATTGGGCTGGACGTTGCACTAGAACAACTGTTGTTAGCTTAATTGGCGCTAGTGTGTCTAAACACCCAGTCATGAATGCCTGAAGAGGTATTTTATTAATTCATTGTTTTATGAAAAGTTTCAGAATCTGACTACCTTGTGAACAGACATCTTTTTTGGAACCAAAGCGCGTCCATTTTGATCGATAACCCCAATAATATTTTCTTGTTGTCACATATCCGGAATGTTCTCCGTGGCACATGTATCTGCCTGACTGTGTCTGCTTGATCCTCTCACCCACACATTCCCATAATTGTCTCTGATTATTTCTGTCACATTTATTCATCGTCACATAATATTTGTAATTATTGCGTGCATAGAGATCATCTGCCATACATTCCAATGTCTGCCAGTTAAAGAGTTGTCCAAAGTTGGTCCAGATCCAACGGTAATCCCAGTTATCGTAACTACACGTGCCTGCCAGGACAAACGTGTCCTTGGTGTACAACATGTATGGTTTTTGGTAAAGGCAGATTTTATCAATGTAGTCCTGCAGGAGGAATGAGTCTTCATAAGCTGTAACACAATGAAAGAAACAATTGTAAACCAAGGTATTGTGTTGAAAATTAATCATGCACAGATATTTCTGTACCAAAATGCTTTATCCTCTTCACATTAGTTTATCAGATCACAAACAATTTTCGTTTTGTGAACAGTACTTTGTTCCTTGGTCCCAGCATTGTCATTATTTCATGTACACATTTTACTTAATTTCTTAAGTTTTACTAAAGTCTCTTACTTAAGGTAGTGCTGTAGGAAGAACGAGGCTTCCTGATAAGCTGAATAAAAAAGACAAATTTAAGCATTGTTTTTCTGTCGTATTTCTTCATCGAATAAAATGTCGCATGTTCCTCCAGTAATGTCTATTACTTTTTCGTTTAATTGGCTTACTTTTGTGCCCAATTGCGCTGTGCAATGGTATATATTTACTCGTTTAAATTTTTACTGTAAGTTTGGTAGCAACCATTGAACTATATAACATGGAAGGCTGACTCGAGCTCAAAAGGTGAAGCCAAACATGGCGGAAATTGAAGGCATTCTTGCGCGTCATTCTCAATCCCCTTACGTGCGCGGTCAACAAAACTTTTATATATTTTTTTATTTTCCGAGCAAAAATTTGGTGAAAAACAGACGAAATTTGAATGAAAAGTTGAATTCTGGTGTTTTGTTTGGGTTCGGTTCTGAATTTTAATTATTATTTATTTAAAAGATGCGATATTTGAGTGGAAAGAAAGCAAAATAGCGTGGGATTGTTGTTTTTGTAAATGACAAAGAGTGAAAAACAAAACACAAATGTCACTCAATCTTTCAAAATATTGACAAGGGTTTCACACACATAAATAACTCATTAAAATAAACAGTTTAAGTTTATAAAGCAATCATCAAAGTGATTTTATGAAATAGAAAATAAAAAAAACAAAATTTTCTTACATGTATGAAATTAAATTGGCTAAAAACTGCCTCGAAAACTGCAGTTAAAAAGCAGTTTTAGGTCTGGAAAACGGACTAAAATAAGCTAAATAATGGTGTGAAAACTGAAAAGCACCATATCAAGAAAGCGAAACAACCAAAGCAAAAATAAATTCCCAATTTATAAAAATACAGATTTATTAAAAAAAAAAGTTTGAAATTAGTTGTTGAATTCGCAACGAAAAATACATATTTACTCACACATACAGTGGGAAAATGCAGTAGCAGATCGATTAGATGAAGGAAATCAGGTTTACATGAAATAAATAAAGTTTATTTCCTTTTTTACTCTTCTAAAATGAAGAAAAACACAACCCGAGAGTCGCGGACCCATCACTTTCCGCCATGAAAATACAAAAATTGTTTGGCCGCGCACGTAAAGGGCATTGAGAATGACGCGCAAGAATCAAGAATGGCTTCAAAATCCGCCATCTTTGGCTTCACTTTTTGATTACGTCAATGACTGAAGTCAGCCTTCCATGTATATAGTTCACTGGTAGCAACCTCGTTCCCAGGCTCTTCCTTTCAAAAGAGGGAAGAACCTGGGAACGAGGTTGGTTTGGTAGCCGGCTTACTCGACGGCGGCACTAAGTGGGCGATGTGCTAATGTGTACTGCAATCCTGGAAAATATTCGTAGCCTATTCTTTATTTTGATGTTATTTCCCCCTCTCCCCCCGTTGCAATGTTGATATTGACTTCGTATTCCTCTCAAATCGACATTACCTAAAACACATGGTCTGAGGGGGAGGTAGTACGGAGTTAACTGTTAAGGGCAATTTTGTAGGTTTGGCTGAGAAAACTGCATATTATTTCATTGTGTATTTTGAAATTTCTTCAGACTTTTTTAAGATTAGTAGTTGTCAACCTTACTTAAGCTGAAATGCGAAGGACGCAGCTTAATCTGATATAGAGTCAAAGGCCTTCTAAGGGCGCCTCTAGCAGTCACGAGGGATCATGGAGCACTGGTAGCCTACGGTGGAAGGGTCAGTTAAGGGCCAATCTAGCCTGCTCATAGGTTCTATTATATAGAGCCTGCGACTTTTATTGATATTTTTTCAATACGCCCCCTTTGAGATAATTGAATATCCGGTAAATAGTAGCCAATCAAAGTAAGTTTTGTTAATTAGATTACCAGAGGTTATTAACAACAACAAACAGTTTCTCGCGCAACTTTACGCCTGTATCTTTCACTAGGATTCCAAGGTCTAAACTTTAATCTAAAATAATTCATGGTCGTTTTTTCCCTAAAGTGTTCTAATATTTAAAACATAGTCCCGCTTGTATATTGCTGTCTTGTTCGTACATTGCCGTTTTAAATTATGTAACTAGACTACAGAGACGTAAAATCTTGCTCTCTATTAGTTAATGTATTTTATATATTTATATCCAAAATATAACTGTAAGATTTAAGGAAACGTATTTAGGTTTTGAACAAAGTAACAAACACTATTTATTAAAAGTATCGAACAATAGCAGGCTAAAAAACAACATTAATCATTATTGCGTGAAGTCTGTCATTTGCTCAATAATACAATTAACTCAATAGACAATAGATCGATTCTGCCGTGTTTAATAACTACATTTTTTTGTAAAAAGCTCTTGTTGTAATAATATATGTCACTAGTTGAGACTCCCAAAAATAAAGTCTCAAAGAGAGAGAGCGGACTTCGGTCAAAAAACACGCAAACGACTATTTCAAAATTTCCAGGTGTAAATTCAAATTGGCCAGGTGTTCTAAGAACGACTTTCCTCGACGGCGTCTGTTTTAATAATTTGCCCATTGTCTTGACTTATTCAAGACCAGATTGTTTAGGCAGAAAGCCTTGGGTTGACAGGGAAGTAGGCCTATTCGGGAGAAATGTTCATTTGACAATCAACTGCTTTATACTAGCTGATTCACTGCCTGTGTCTCAACGAACGTCTCGCTGGAGTCGCTGGGCTAACCTTAATAATTAAGTTGTTCAACGTTTGAAACCGCAAGTGATGCAAACGCGGTTAGATAAATTGTCAGCCTGAACTAGACTTATTTTACTCTCTCTCTGCAAAGATCAGCAAGGCATACGTCGCATACGTCGAAGTTTTCCCTTGTACTTCTTTGGAAAAGGTTTATTATTATAGCTGACGAAGACAAAGTATCGGTATATCACATGTAAACTTTTATCAAATCCCGTTGGAAGTACAATTAATATTGCTAACCTTCGCTCATCCTTCAACGTTAATTTAAATTGAAAGGTTTCTTAAATACATTCAGTTACTTCTTAGTAGTCATGGTTTTATACGCCACTGATTGAATGCCAGCTTTAAAATTACATTGCGAAATGTCGTACGAGTTAAATATTTGCACGATATTAACTCATGGGGCACTTCTGACCAATGGGAATTTTGCGTACCCTCCGTACGCATAAATCGACTTTTTACTAATAAAGGTCGCAGGCCGTACCTCCCATGCAGCCTCTGCCTGACAACGGCCTGCGAGCAGGCTAGGGCCAATCCCTACCCACTCTGTGAACGTAACATTCCCGGTGGGAGGAAACCGGAGGAAACCCACGACTTTCTGTAGAGCGTCGAGTGACTCTTTTGACATGCATGTGTTCATAGACTACGCTTGCTCTGACGATTACGTAAGTATACGCAATCACCTGTGCTGTTCTTAAGACCTATAACTTAATTAAAATAATAGAGAGATTAAGATACCCCGGTGTACGGGTGATATACACATGCCCGTACGCGTAAATCGAGGAATAACTTGTAACTTAAGAAATCCAACATACTCCGGCGTGAGAAAACCGATCAGAGAATGGTAACTTCCGCTGTTGAGGTTCGCCATAAATTGTTGAAAACTTTGACCAGCATACTGTGCACTATTTATTTGGGTAAGATGTTGAAAATTTTTATTATCTAAACGGCCCACAAATAGTAAAGAGAAAACACCCGTACCCGTTTGTCTTTTACGTGTAGACCATGGTTTACCGGGGGAAACAGGTAGAAATTACGGGAAAAAATGCTGACATCAGCAAAATTGGTAAACAAAATGGCGATACTCGAACCCGTAAACCGGAAGCGGGGTATCTTAACCTTTCTATTAACGATTTTAGTTCACATATACTTTCACATTGTAACCTACACCAAAATTTGTTATCGTATGAATTAATATACTATATGTACTTTTTTTTCGGATTTGCTATTGTAGAAAATCTCGATGTGACTAGACATGTTATTTCATATCACTTGTATGTATGTAAATTGCTAACGACTTATGTAGGCTATTAACCAATTTGGCAACAATCTTTGTCGCGAAACTAAATAAATAAGCATATCTAACAAACTGGTTTGATCCTTGTTTAATAACGTTAGTAAACAGTAATCATGGAATGTTATTTTTAAAACTACAATAAACTCACGAACATACACGTGGCATAGACCATCAGTTCGTTCACAATACACCTTCCATATCGACCTCTCATATAGACGTATGTGTGATCCACCATACATTGACAGTAAGTACAGTTTTTATCAAAACAAACTGCATTTGTCTCGTTACAACCAACTAGTTTTGTAAATCGATCGCGTGTACCTCGAAAAATATCGATATTCTTCATGCTGTTGTCGCCATGACATGATGTTAAATTTAGAAACAAGCATATTGCTATTTTGAAGATTGGTTGCTGCATCATGAAATCTTCAAATCTTTGTGTATGGTAAACTTACTATACTGGCATGGTAGACTTTAAAACCTTCAAAGAAATCGTGCAATCTTCAACACGGTCATATAAACTGTAGTATATTAAAACATTAATCATCCACGTTATAAATATATACTTGTCTACATTCACATCCTGTGGTTTTTGATGCCGAAACTATATTATACGCAGACATGAATCCTAAACAATAGCCAAGTGCTTGACTTGATCGATCTCATGCCTCATTACACCATTCTAGTCACGTTCAGGAAAAGTATGGAATTTTGATACCATGCTATACAGAATACAACTCCGAAAGCAGTGATTATTATAAATACTGGAACCACTGAGTATTTTTCATAAGATACACAACAACGATCAATATATACGAATAAAGAAAGCATTTTAATTTTTCTACGTTTTGACTTTATTTTATCATAAGTCATCTAACTTCCGGAATAATTTAGTCAAATGATTTAAAGATGACTGTGTCAAAACGTCAAGAAATAAACGATACTCTCTTTTTTGGAGTTGCCGTTCTCTGTGTAGTTTTCCATAATTCATAAACATTCTCACTTTCAAAAATTTTCAATTTAAGTGTTCCTAAATGATAAGATGGACTCTACACTCTAGTCGAAACGGAACAACTTTCAAAAGCCTTTTACGGTAAGAGTGACCAGACAAGTACTGCATAAGATGGACTCTTCACTCTAGTCGAAACGGAAACTACTTTCTAAAGCCTTTTGCGGTATGGGTGACTAGACAAGTACTGTTTATGGGCAACAACAAAAAAAGCGTGTTCATTTTCGAAAGCTTCGCCTAGGATATTCATATTTAGCATGCATATACTCGCGAGGTGAATCGTGGATAGTGCTAGCTAGCTTTTTGTGCAATTTTTGATTTGGTTCAAAATCCAAAATGTTTTTGGCTTGTCTCCAAAAATTACTTTCTTTAGGTTTACTAACAACCTGCATAGCTACTTCAGGGTGCGATAATTCATGATTTTTAGTCGTACCTCACTGGTATACTCCAATGATTATTGCCTCGTACATGGGCTGGTACAAATTTAAGAATGAAGGTGTACTTGGTTTTTAAAATGAAGTACATAAACTGCATGTTTCTGAAAGGTATTCATTCAGTAACCTGAAACTACGAGTTAGAATGGGAAGGACGACCATGGCATACACAAACACAAGAATCAACTCCAACATTCTTTCGTCCTACCAGCCTGATAATTCTTCACGTCAAGACATGATGTCAAACGTGCACATATTTTGACTTTTAAGTATGACTTCTAAACTAAAATTTTTGAACCTTTTGACTTTTAATTACAATTACGGTTTTGAATATCTTGGGCTTCTGGTAAGGTCATAATTTCGATACCAGCAAAATGTAAATACGCAAATATAGTGAGAGTTCCGCGTATACTTACACGGTACTTGGTTGAAAGCAAAGAAGCCTAGTACCTCTTGTACGTAAATACGCGAATTACCCCCACCCTGCTACTTTTTCATTGTACAGTATATCGCATAAAGAAGACAATTTTAGGTTGTTTTATAAGCGTTCGTTGTAATCATAATTACAAATTCACGAGAAAAACACAAACAAACCCGGATTGCAAAGAAACTCATTTTCCTCACCAAATCAGTGACATTCATGGTGCAGTCTTTAAGATTATATTAGTTAAAAAACATCTGTGTTTCTCGTTAGATTATATATAGCTACTTCATTTTGTGATCATAGGTGCGTAACCTAGAGCTTCACTTTTACTATTTTTTTAATGGTGGCCTTGCAAGTGCAGTATACTGACTGTCCATCGCAGCAACATACAGCAATTCGTCTGCTTCATCCTTTCCCCCTCTTGCGCCTCCTTCATCACTTGTTTTTTGACCATTGATCAGATGACTGCTATCTTCAGATTCATTTTTTAATGACGGCCTTACTAGTGGAGTGTACTCGCCGTCCATTGCATTAAGCAATCCATCTGGTTTATCCGTCCTCTTAGTTGCACCTGCTTTTTCTTTTCTTCTTTGGACATTCTTCAGATGTGTGTAACCGCTATCGTCACTTTCATTGTTGTTTACTGGTGGCCTTACTAGCGGAGAATAGCCGCTGTCCATTACACCAGTATCTGTATATATTCCCGTTGTATCGACTTCCCGTTGTATCGCCTTCTTTAATATCGGCTTACCAAGTGAAGGATACTCGTATTGATGGCTTTGGGGTCTCTCGGGATATTCGTATGTGGGGCTCTGTGGTATTTCGTACTTAGGACTCTGAGGTTGTAAGGCAAACGTGCGATCGTTAGCGTAGACATACTCGTATTCGTGCCGTGGTTTTGGTATTGCGTAAAGTTGTGATTGATTCGGCGTTGGTTGGGAATTGTTGTTTGGGAGATTTGCAGATTCTGCCAACTCTTCAACCACGGGTGAAGAATTTTCATCTGTTACTTGATAAAGAAAAGGAAATGTAGGAAAGTGTGTTGTCATTTTTTCCTATAGAGATTTTTCTTTAGCAAATGTCATTAATAGGCGCAACAAAATCACACTTAACATTTTGAGGTTGGCGAGTAAGGAAAAGAAGCAGGAAAGCTATTTAAATGCTCTTGTAAACCTGTACTTTTGTGGATAACAGATCTGTAATATTTCTACGACCAATCTTAAGTTTGTTTCATATAATAATTATAAATATAAATATAAATATAAAGTACTGTTTAATAAACGAGCAGGAGAGTTTTATTAGGTTCACGCGCGAGTGGCTTTAGACCTAATAAAACACGACCTGCGAGTTTATTAAACGGCTTCAAACACGACTACAAATTCAATAGATATACTGTACTGCCTTATTAGTATTCTTTATATAAAGAATACTATATTTATATAAAGAATACTAACGAGGACACGACTACAATAGATACTGCCAATTATTAGTATTCTTTATATAAAGAATACTAATTAGAAGTGTTTTATCAAGTTTAAAGCCACTGCACGTGACATACTTTGATTGACATGATTTGCCAATAATCATATGAATTATTAATGAGTGTTTGCAATTGTAGTGGTGTTAAAAATTGTCGCCAATATCATCAGATGCACTGTGAGGTGATTCAGTATTGACAAAAATTTCATTTATTGCAATAACCTTTTAACATCATATTTGATTACCTGGATTTTCTGTGTTTTTTAAACGTACAGATCTATGGAAAGAAAACAAGTATATTTAAAGATTTATAGGTACTATTTAAAAAACGAGCAGGAGTGTTTTATTAGGTTTAAAGCCACGAGCGCGCAGCGCGAGTGGCTTTAGACCTAACGAAACACGACCTGCGAGTTTTTTAAATGGCTTCAAAAACGTATGCATAATAAGTCAAATCTTTATATAAAAACCTTTATATAAAAATCTTTATATAAAACTCTTTATATAAAAATCTTTATATAGTTTGCACAACAATGGTCTTTTGTTAAAGTGTTCTTTAGCTGGTATAAAGATGTATGCACGTGACTAATTTCTTACTCAAGATTGGACAATTGCTTCATGAATTATTAATGAGTTTTTGAAGTGAATTAACAAAGTGATTGTTTTAAGTTTATGAGTTCTCGTTGAAATTGCTCGCGACTCTGGTTTAAGTGAATATGTGCAATCATCGAAAGGATGTTTCGATTGTTTTCAACCGATGTTTCGATTGTTTTCATCACGAGTGATTTAAAGTCCGATATACTGGAGAGGTAATGTCACCACCCAACTAGGTGGAAATAGCCTCGGTGTCATCCTAAACATGCAATCACATGCTTCGTAATTCAATTGGCACACTAGTAGTTTGCTAAATTCAATTTTGGCTTGTTTAAAAGTTGAAACTGCTTTTTCCTGTGTGTCCTGAATTGCGTACCAAGTTGATGTTTGGCTGACCCACATATTATTTCTCACGGTCACTTGCCAGGTGCGGTATAGATGGTACAGCATGTTTTTTTTCTATTTGACTAAACAAAGTCATTCATTAAGATATATATCGGTTACTTCTGCATCGCATGCTATATTGTTACCTGTTTCGACGTTTATAGACGATGATAGCAATCACCCCAGCAATACAAAGGAGAACGAAGGCGCAGATGTTAATAATTATAATTTTGGTATTATCTTTGCCAGCAGGCCCTGTAGCACTATTGCTCTCGTGGTCGTTGTTTAAATCATTCCCATCATCGTTTCCATTTTCACCATCTCCATCAGGAGTCGGTGTAATGTTCGTCACTGTTCTATCTTCATTGTAATTGAAGCCTATATACAAGAAAAATAATTGTACTTTAATTATCAAAAACCAAGCCTATAATGGCATTAAAAATGGTATAGGCTAGCTTCTCTAACGCGGGAGGTGTCCATATAGGGAGGTGTCCATTTTATCACAGTTTTAGTATATAAACATAAAAGCTTCCTTTTTATAAATTGTAGGATCCATATTCGTAGTTTTAAACCTTTCTTTCGTAGTTTTAAACCTTTCTTCTCTCTTTCGTTTTAAATATTTCTACTGGGATATTTCTACCTTTCTTTGTTGGTAGAAATGATGGGTTGCTGTTGGCACAGTGTTAGTATACATGCCTTTCACCGGGTTTGATTCCTGAAGTGTGCAGATGAATAATTAGTCGCCCTTACCCATACTGAACCTCAAGGAAGAACAATTTAGACTGGAATAAAGAGTTTTTCATATAATCAGAAGTGTAGCTATAGATCAGTTCGTTAATTATTTGAATCATGAAAGCACTATAGTGGATATATATCCTAAAATTATTTTTAAAATTTCGACCTTTACCTGTAAAGGTTCCTGTTTATTTTATAATGACGCAGTGTTCAGTTTTTGTTGCAGCAATATTCTCACACATAAACTGTATCTTGATTGATGCTTACCTTTAAAAGTTCCGGTGTATTTAATTACGACGCAGTGTTCAGTTTTACGAATTGTTGAAGCACTTGAATGTTCACATTCGAATTGTACCTTAACCATAAATCCTCCCCAACTTTTTGGAGTTTTACTCAAATCCCACTGTAAATAAAAAACTGCATTTGGGAGGGATTCTTCGTCCACTGTAATTGCGAAACTGCCGTTCTTTATTTCCAATGCTTCCCATGTATCATTGTGTATATATTGAGTTTTATTTGGCAAGAGGAAACATTTCGTTTTGCTCAAGCGGATTTCCTTAACTCCCAAACATTCTGACTGTTCTTCACATTTTGTTTTATCAAGGATGAGGAGCGGTGAACCATCTGCGAATGTCTCACATCCTACAGCTAAGAAGAAAATATAGGGAATCAAGGTACGTGAAATTTTTTTGTCAAGCTGTTTTTATAAAACTCGATAGTCGGTGAAAGTTTGCGAGGAAATTAAAGTGTTGCATATATGAATTACCTTAACTCTTGTGGTACATATATAAACTAAGGCAAGGGTTCTATGGAATTTGATGGACGTATATTTTCGGCAGAAAATAATAATAATACTTAAAATATAGGCTATATATTAAAATCATATAATAATAGCTATTTAATAAAGCCTCCTTTTATTGCTAAAGCCTCCAGTAAATGGAACAAAGGTTACAATTATGTTATTTGAGATGAATATCTAGGGATTCAACTTTCTGAAAAATACAAGTAAAACTTCGACGTTTCGAGCGAAGGGCCTTTGTTTGGAAGTTATAGTTCTGCTAATCTCTTAACGTTGAGACTATTGGGCTAGACGTCGCATTAGAACAACTGTTGTTAGCTTAATTGGCGCTAGTGTGTCTAAACATCCAGACGCCTGAAGAGGTATTTTATTAATTCATTGTTTGATGAAAAGTTTCAGAACCTGACTACCTTGTGAACAGACATTTTTTTTGGAACCAAAGCGCGTCCATTTTGATCGATAACCCCAATAATTTTTTTTTGTTGTCACATATCCGTAATGTTCTCCGTGGCACATGTATCTGCCTGACTGTGTCTGCTTGATCCTCTCACCCACACATTCCCATTTTTGTCTCTGATTATTTCTGTCACATTTATTCATCGTCACATAATATTTGTAATTAGTGCGTGCATGGAGATCGACTGCCATACATTTCAATGTCTGCCAGTTAAAGAGTTGTCCAAAGTTGGTCCAGATCCAACGGTAATCCCAGTTATCGTACCTACATGTGCCTGCCAGGACAAACGTGCCCCCCGGTGTAGAATTTGTGGTAAAGACACATTTGGTCGAGCTGCAGGAGGAACGAGTCTCCGTAAGCTGTAAAACAATGAAAAAATGTATAACCAATGCACTGTGTTCAAAATCATTGATCAACTGATATTTATGTACCGAATAATTTTGTCCTCAGCATTGTTTCATATACACATTTTACTTGAAGACAGTTTTTGAAGTGAAGACAATTTTTGCATTGGGCAATTTGAACGGTTTATTTATATCTTATACGTCGTTTTCTGACCATCAGAATTCTGTAAAATATATATTCCTTCAGAGGGCATGAAATGACATCTGTTTTAAAGACTCTAGGCTTAAACATTTTACGGGGGGGGGGGGGCATACCACCCCCAAAGCTTGAAAAATCACTATCCTGTGGATAGCGCTATCCGGCCTTCATACAACCGGCCCCTGGTGTATAAGACGCTGACCTTGGGGACTATCGTGGTTTTCTGTTTTGGCCGGCCCTTTATAAACTTCATAAACTTTAGCAAGTACTACTCCCTAAAAAGGGCTTTTCAGTGATATAATTTAGAAAATATATTACAATATGATTTATAAGAAAGTTATATACTCATTTAGAATTACTCTACTTAGAGTAATTGTTTATACAGTTTATGTTTAAAAGATTGAAGTGATTTCTCTGATTTGAACTCTGGTAACAACGAGTTCCATAATTTGGCTCCTCTAAAACTAAAAGTTCGCTGTCCTGTGACATGGCGACAAAGAGGCAAATGTAAATCACTAGTGTTTCTTGTAACTCTGGAATATACTTCAGAATTTTTTTTAAAATTGTCAGTGAGCGAAGGAGGTGTTAGATTATGTAAAGATTTAAAGACGAGTATAGCATCTCTAAGGTATAACTGGTCTTTAACGTTCAACCATTTAAGTTCTTTGAAAGCAGGAGATACATGATCGTACTTTCGTAAGCCAACTAATATACGGGCAGCAAAGTTTTGTACACGCTGCAGTTTTTTTACATTCTCTTTCCGCGACGTGTTGCTCCATACAGAAGAGCAGTAATATAATCTGCTAAACACTAGAGAATGTATGACAAGTAAAAGTGTTTTGCGATCCAAAAGATGTTTCCCGCGATTAATCTGAAATCATGAATACATGCATGAAGAGACAGTTGTTGTAATACTGGTCAGAATAAGTCGTCCATTTCATCGGACAAAAAGATCCACAGATATTTATGTACCGAATAATTTTGTCCTCTTTCAATTAGTTGATCAGATCCAGAAAAAAAATTCGTTTTGTCAGCAGTCCTTTGTTTCTTAGTTTCAGCATTGTTTCATATACACATTTTACTTAGATTAAAAAACCTCCAAGTGAAGACTATTTTTATATTGGGCAATTCGAACGATTTACGACACGTCGTTTTCTGACCATCAGAATTCTGTAAAATATATATTCCTTCAGAGTGCACGAAATGACATTTTAAAGACTCTAGGTTTTAAACATTTTACGGAGGGGGAGGCATACCGCCCCCAACATATACAGTTGGTTATGGCACCTTTAAGGCGGATCTCCACAATTTTTGAGACGCCGATTTTTATGACGATCGTCATAAAAATTCTGTTATGACGATCGTCATAAAAATTCGCGACGATAGAAGTCAATTCTACTTTTGGTCGAGCACTATAGAGGATCGCTCTTTGAACATTTTTTTCAATTCCGCATGTGTCGTTGCGAACTGTTTTGACGATCGTCTCAAAAATCATCTAGTGGGGATCCGCCTTTAGAACTCAATACTGGTATATTCGACGTTGGCCGTGGGGGCTATCGTGAGTTTTCTGTTTTGGCCGGCCCCTTAACCTTATTTTCTGTCCACGTCCGATTGATCATACAACTCCTCCCTCCCCCTCAACGTTTACATCCAAGGTTATGCCCTTGTACCGGGCGTAGCGATAAAAAGTTTAATGAAATGAATAAACATGTTGTTTTTAACAGAAACGAAACAATCAACATTTTGTATTTATCGAGATTTTTGACTTTCTAATTTTAATACTTTTGATACTTTTAATACTTTAAAAGACTAACATTATTATTCCTAATCTGGGTTCATGTTCTGGTCTCCGAGGCCCAAACATACATCGATCAGGAATTTTATTTGTGATATTTAGTACATTCTAAGACAAAATGCAATATATTTCTTCGACAAAATCTTAATCTTCATTGTCTTTATGGCTTTTAAAGCTACCGGGAGTGACGAAGAGGCATTTTTTTGAGAAGAAGCAAACGAAAACTGATTTGCATTGTCTTTATTTAACGTCTCTTCCGCTTGCTTTAAGATAAAAAAACCACATGAAAATGACATATATATATATCTTATCAAATATATATCTAAGAAAATATATTGCATTTCGTCTCAGGATGTACCTAATCGCTGCATGCAAGCAATACTTTAAAGAACGATAGGCAGGTAGAAGAAATACGAACGGAAAAAGAGCCCAAGGTCAAATCCGTTGCGATCCCCACCTATTTGCCGAATTGGGATGAGAATCTGTATGTCGTAGCCTACTAGCCTGGTTCCTGCCTTTCGCTTCCGCTACGTGCGCTTGCTCGAAACCATAGAAATAATAATATCTATTATTTCTATGCTCGAAACCGAACCAGCCACGCTGGAAGGCCTAGGACTAGGGCTAAATTATAGCTGTCAAATGTGCATTACTTGACTAATTCGAAATAATCAATTGAAAAATTAAAATATAGAACTTGCAAATCATCATAATAATAATCATAATAACTTATGAACATTTTCACTTTTTCCAAGAAAATCAATTTTTAGCTATTGAGATCACAAGAGCATATTTCTGCCAATATTCATACAGGAATGACAGGAAACTGAAAAGATGTTTAAATGGACCATTCCCCAATTAACCAAAATCTTGAACTCAACAAGTCTAGACAAAACTTTAATTTTATCACAGCTTGAAAGAGCATCACAAAATTAGTAATATTCCAAAGTTTCGTTGCGAAATGTTGTAAAATGAGGATAATATAGCCTTGCAAAATTTGCAATTTTCGGTCATTTTAGATTACAAACGGGAAATGGTTACCACTCCTGTGCGTAATACAAAATGACTGAAAATTGCAAACTTCGCAAGGGCTATATTAGGCTATCCGCATTTTACAACATTTTGCAACGAAACTTTTGAATATTACTAATTTTGTGAGGCTGTTTCAAGCTGTGATGAAATTTTTGTTTAGGCTAGTTAAGATCAAAATTTTTCCCGTTTGTTATCTAAAATGACTGAAAATTGCAAATTTCGCAAGGCTATATTATCCGCATTTTACAACATTTCGCAACGAAACTTTGGAATATTACTAATTTTGTGATGCTCTTTCATGCTATGATGGAATTTTGTCTAGACTTGTTGAGATCAAAATTTTGGTTAATTGGGGAATGGTCCATTAATGCTTTATCATTGAGGAAAAAGGGAAGCGTTTTGCATCGTCAGTCTTGTCTCGAAATTTAAAATAAAAATCTTAGGCCAAGTAAAAAAATATATATGTTTCTCGTCCCCGCCCGCTTCCTTTTTCTTGGCCGCTTCCTTTTTTCTTTTTTTTGCTGGTTTTCCTCTACAAATTTCGCTTCATGTTTTTGAACTTTCTTTTTGATAACTTGAAGCTAACTTGGAGTATTAATCTGGAACTACTGCGGGCCAACAGGGTGGACTTCCGTCTACGCATGCGCGAGAAACGTAAGCGTGGAGTACACGTGAGCGCGGGTTAATCGCGTGACTGGATTATAAAAACAAACATCAAATTTGCAAAAACTACTCGTGTTATGAAGTCGTTTTCTTGTTTCTTTAGTGTTTCTACGTTCACAAATTTAGGCATTTACAACTTAGAAGTGTTTGCTTTGGAATAAGAACGTGAAAGTGGAAATAAAAACTTTGTTACAGCAGTTTAATTTCGCAGTGCAAATATACCTGTTTTTAATATCTATATCCTTTTCGAAGTGAGATATACAAGTGCAAATTGACCTTCTTTAAATTCGTACTTGCCCTATTTTTCACTCCGTAAAAACTACTTTTATCGATGGAGAAACTATTTGACTCTAAAAATAAGCTTGAATTTTTGTGGTGATATAGGCTCATTTCTTTGCAAACAGTGATTTAGTACTCGGTAGTGTAGTTGTTGTTTATGAACAAAAGTCTAAAATGAATTCAACATCCGTCAACAAAAAGGAGTCGCGCTTATTACTACTCTGTAGAGGATAGACAATTAATTTAACTCACTAAGAACCCGTTCTACAATATAAACTAGAAATCGGCCAACAAATTGCCGCGAAATACTATAATGAAAATAGGGTCTCTGAACTACCAATTTCACCAAACGGTCAAGTTTCTCTGCAAAGATTGCCCCTTTGCCCAATTTTCCTCGAGTAGATCATCGTGTTTTTAAGTAAAGGATTATGTATACTTTAACATAAAAGAATAAAAAAAGTGGTGATAAAGGGTAGATTTTGAATAAAATACGAATATCTGTATACAAGACCTGAGCGTTATTATGAAGCACTCGATACTTTTTCCAACAACATATTGCGATTAATTTTTTACAAAATTAAAAATATTCACACATTAAAGATATTAAAATGTAGCTTGCATTACAAAGAAATGTTGGCTTACCTAAGTTATACCTTACACGTCGATTAAAGTCAAGTAAAGCCCTTTCAAAGACGCGTGTCACATTAAACTACAGGTCACATGGCGGTAGAGAACTCGACGAAGTATTCACGATATTTCATAGCCAGTTTAAACCCTGCTGTGCACTATTCCTATGAATTATGATGCCCAACACACCGGGTAACAAAATTTACCACTTTGTTCGGCTGTTCCAAGTACACTTTTAAGATACAAGGTCCGATTATATCATGTTCTTCGAAGCATCTGCTCAAAACAGTCCAACATAAATGTCGCCACTCATCTTCTTCGTATGAAAATATAAGTTTTCCTTTCAATTGCTTTGCTTTAAAAACAGTCATTAGGTTGTTGAAGAGTTAGCCTGCAAGTTCCAACGAAAAAACCCCCGATGCTTTCAAAAACCAGTGAATCACAAAGCTGTAAACTTCAACATCCTTAGAAATTGTAAGCAAAACATCGAAAAGCAAAATTTGCGGGAAAAAGCTCACGAGCCCGCACTATTTTCATGCAGCGTCGACGAAAGTCCACCCTGTTCTGCGGGCCCATTCAAAATCCTATCCGCTGACCAAATTCAACGCTGTTCAAATTTAATACGTTACGAGACATTAAAAAAGTTACTTTAAAAGCCTTTTATAATTCACGTTTTTAATATTGCGTGTATTTTTCTTACTAAACTGTATGAAAGCTTATTACTTTGGCTAAGAAAAAAAAATGCCCCGCTTCCCTGCTTTTTGGCAGAAATCCGGCCGAGAAATATAAGGGGTTTTTTTACTTGGCCTTACTTTTGTAAATTGTAGACACGCTAAGCTGTTGATAATTAATTAACTATATAACGACGAGACATTTTGGGTAAAATTGTGTTTTTATCAAAATATTTTGAAGTGTGTTTTTATCAAAATATTTTGAAGAATTGATTTATGCACTATATATGGGCACTCAAATCAAACTCTATTTCCGATATAAACCAGCATTGATTTATTGTACATTCTATAGCCAGAATTTCTATAACAAGGCTCCCCAAATCATCCAACTACTGTATGTATAATACCTGTAGCCTTGTGTCGTTGTGGGAATTTAGGTAATATTAGCTATTGAATTAGGTTGCGATAGAGATCAAGATTAAAGAGAAATATTTCGTGTGCAAAACTTGATGATATTGCGAGAATCTATATACCGCTTATACATGTTGAATTCTGTGGTTTATTCATGGTAAGAGTATCCGTTGAATAGAAAGCTTCGGTTGAAAAAGTTAAAGGTCTATCCATTTGTTCAGGTTGAATAGCTGTCTAGAATATCAGATATAAAACAACGGTATATATGCCTAACTCTGAAAATAAACATTTTAATATTCTAGCTTTCGACTAAGATGCTGCAGTCATGATGACTGAATCTTAGTCGAAATGATTACTGAATCTTACTGATGATCTTACTGATGATCTTACTGATGATCTTACTGATGATGACTCATGAATCTTAGTCGAAAGCTAGAATATTAAATTATTAAACATGTTTGTTTTCGGAGTTACCGTTGTTTTATAATATCAGATAAAGGCTTGCATTATTTAAAATAAGTTTTGTAAACAATATCTATATCAGTTAATTAAGCCAGCTGATTATAAGTCTTCAGGAAAATATGAGACAAACGATCAGAGACGCAATCGGATATATACGATAACCTTCATCGACCATGAGTCTTTAACCTATAGGGCGCTTAATGGCCCGACTGGTCAGACCCAAATTTTTCTCTGTATCAATGGAGAGGTCTGGTCTATGTTTCTCAAATATCTAGCGAAAATGGATCTCATTCTAATGTTATCAAAATTTTCTGGTCACATAGGTTCTAAGCCCAAACGTTTTATATTCCATTCAACAATTTGACCGATCCGACAGGTCTGGCCGTGTTAATGGAAAGCGCCCCTAGATTCTGGAGAATTAAATGAAGGACTTTGTCGTTATACACTTTATGCAGCAACTTACATATTGCGTAGACCATCAGCTCGTTTGAAACACACTTCCCATATTGCCCTCTTGTTTGTATAAATGTCTGATTCACCATACACTGACAGTCAACACAGCTTTCATCGGAACAAACAGCATTTGACACGTTACAATGAAATACATTCGTGAATCTGTCGCGTTCTCCTCGGAAAATTACCACATCCTTGCCGTTGACTTCATATAACGTCGATGTTGCCAGACAAATACAAAACACCACTGACAATGATATAAACTGCATACTGAATAGTTACTGAGAGATATTTAATTAAGACTTTAATTTAATTAACCTTCTTTAAAGTTTCTCAGAGAATCATTTGCTATTGTAGCATATATAATCTGAGTAACTGACTTACGGCGGTATCGGCGTGAGACTCGCAGGTAAACCAGGTTTGTCTGTCAGTCTCCCGCAGGCGCCGATAGAGTTGGATAAATAAATAAATTTAAATTTGTTATAAACCGAGAGCGCGGGATATAAGTTTCAACGGTGCTGATATGGTAAACTTGTATATTATCTAAACTGGTAGTGACTATATTGTAGACTTCGAAAACACTAGCAATAAAACCTGTAATAAATCTATGATATACTCGTCGGCATATCCTGTGGATTTTTCTCGTTTAAAATATATTGCATATGAATTGAAATTGACCCCTGCAGAACTGACCGGATGTTTTGAACCCAAAACAATAGTTGAGTATATGCATACCTATTACCAATATCTGCTTGACTACAATCTCGTCACGTACGAATTTGATGAAATGTCACAACCAGAGAAATTCAAACGCAACCCTAAGCCAAAGCGTTCTTTTGGAGTTACCGTTTTCTATATATTTTAGTATAAACTTTCTCAAATTCAAAAATTTTCAATATATAATTATATAAAATATAATTTTATAAATTTTTCATTGACTATGTACTGTTCAATAAACGAGTAGGAGTGTTTTATTAGGTTTAAAGACACGAGCGCGCAGCGCGAGTGGCTTGAGACCTAATAAAACACGACCTGCGAGTTTATTAAACGGCTTCAAACACGACTACAAATTCAATAGATATACCGCCTTATTAGTATTCTTTATATAAAGAATACTAATTAGAAGTGTTTTATCAGGTTTAAAGCCACTGCACATGACATGTTATAGATGACATGATTTGCCAATAAGCTTACGAGTGTTTGAAACACTCTATAAGGCCAAGTGGCAAGTAAAACAAATTAGTAGTTTCTCATCCCCGCCCGCATCCTTTTCCCCTTCCGCATGGATTTTTCTTTTTTTCATGTTTTATATTCGAGCCTAAAGTTAAAAGCAAGCACATTGCTATTTTGAAGATTTGTTGCTGCATATCTTCAAATCTCTGTGTGGTAAACTTACTATATACTGGCATGGTATACAGGTATAGACTTTAAAACCTTCAAAGAAATCGTCCAATCTTCAACATGGTCATATAAACTGTAGTATTTTAATACATTAATCATCGACGTTATAAATATATACTTGTTAACATGCATATCCTGTGGTTTTTGATGCCGAAACTATATTATATGCAGACATGAATCCTAAACAATAACTGAGCAGGGCCGGATTAACGTTCCGCGGGGCCCGTGGCATATTATTGGAGCGAGGCCCCTTGACCCCCCCACCACCACCACCGCCCAACGGCATTTTAGACCCTGAATTCAGTAAATTTTAAAATATCCTTTTGTATTTCATGCGTTGAAAAGTTTCCTGTGTATTTACAAAAAAAGAAAGAATTATACATCAATAATTTGATCGAACTGAAATTCAACCCAGTTTATACTATTAACATTATTATTATTTACCCCTGTAAATATTATTTAAAATATTAAAATATTATTTACAGGGGAAAAATAGCTAAACATGATAGCGTCCATATAAACTTCTGCCGTCTTCCACGAAATTCAGCGATCATTTAGATGTAACAGTTTGCTGCAAATTTTGATATTTTCTGAACTCTATAAATTTCTGGCCTTGCGATCGCTTTTTGGAGCCCCTTGCCCAAAGAAGGAACAAAAAAATTTGTGTTTGCGGGCCTGCTTTTGGAGCCTCGCCTTTTTTAACTTTGGGGCCTCGCGGGTTTTTTTTTAGTTTGGGGTTTCGCTTTTTGGGGCCTTGGACTCTTTAGGGCCCCGCGCTGTTTGGATCCCGCTCTAAAACAGGGAACAAAAAAATGGTCTGGGGCCCCACACTTTGGGGCCTCCATTTTCAAATTTTGGAGGTCTATAACGTTTTCTGGGGACCTTGGGCTCTTTGGGGCCCCGCGCTGAAACACTCAAAACAGGTAACAAAAAGAAAACGTTTGGGGTTGATTTTTTGGGGCCTCGAGTTTTCTGGGGGACTTAGGCTCTTTGGGCCCCGCGCTGAAACAGAAAACAAAAAATTCAGAAAAAAAATAGAAGAGAGAAGCGCGGGGCCCCCAAAAGCGCGGGGCCCGTGGCATATGCCGCTTCTGCCATATGGTTAATCCGGCACTGTAGCTGAGTGCTTGACTTGATCGATCTCATGCCTCATTACACCATTCTAGTCACGTTCAGGAAAAGTATGGAATTTTGATACCACGCTATACAGAATACAACTCCGAAAGCAGTGATTATTATAAATACTAGAACCACTGAGTATTTTTCATAAGATACACAACAACGATCAATATATACGAATAAAGAAAGCATTTTAATTTTTCTACTTTTTGACTTTATTTTATATCATAAGTCATCTAACTTCCGGAATAATTTAGTCAAATGATTTAAAGATGACTGTGTTAGAACGTCAAGAAATAAACGATACTCTCTTTTTTGGAGTTGCCGTTTTCTGTGTAGTTTTCCATAAACATTCTCACTTTCAAAAATTTTCAATTTAAGTGTTCCTAAATGATAAGATGGACACTACACTCTCGTCGAAACGGAACAACTTTCAAAAGCCTTTTACGGTAAGAGTGACCAGACAAGTACTGCATAAGATGGACTCTTCACTCTAGCCGAAACGGATACGACTTTCAAAAGCCTTTTACGATTAGGGTGACTAGACAAGTACTGTATATGGGCAAATACAAAAAAAGCGTGAACTTCGCCCAGGATATTCATATTTAGCATACTCGGGAGGTGGATAGTGCTTTTACTGCAATTTTTGATTCGGTTCAAAATCCAAAGTGTTTTTGGCTTGTCTCCAAAAATTACTTTCTTCAGTAGGTTTACTAACAATCTGGCTACTGGTATACTCCAATGATTATTGCCTTGTACATGGGCTGGTACAAATTTAAGAATGAAGGTGTACTTGGTTTTTAAAATGAAGTACGTACATAAAGTACAGGTTTCTGAAAGGTATTCATTCAGTAACCTGAAACTGAGAGTTAGACAGGGCATTTTTTAACTATACAACTACTGGGGCGTTTACCCCAGTAGGCCCTTTGCTTGCCTCAGTAGTGAAGCAAGATTTTCAGATGAACTGGGCCCATTTGATCATTAGTAAAATGTCAACCTTGTTGAAAAATCTGCCCGCCCTCTCATATCCTCTCACATTCTGGACATCAAAATCTTAAGAGTGTTGTCCCATGTCCATTCCTTCTCCGCCGTGGCCATTGCACTAAAGGAGTCAATTGTGACTTCTCCCATTCGAATCTGGAATCTAATAACAAAGAACATCAGATCTTTTCTAAACCCAAGCACCTGACCCCATGCCCCTTCCTAGAAAGAAAGGGAAGCTGTTTAAAAGGCGAAAAGTGCGACTTTTTTCACAAAACCACCCATTTTCAACAACGGCACTATCCCAATTATTACGAAAATCCGGCTTTTTTAGAACCACTGGAAAGCATCAAGTCAATATTGAGACAGGTGGAGGTGGGTCTGCAGAAATTCAATATAACTCATGGAACCGGTTTCCAACAAATCCCCACTCCGATGGGTCTGAATCGATGCCCACCGACGGCGATGCCGCAAAATCGACAGCTCCTACGGCCACTAATGAGCATACCCTACCCTTATTTTTAAATGATTACACTGGCAATTATAAATCCCAACCAATTAATGTACGTCTAACTCAGAGAAAACCTTACAGAAGTCCCGTCACAACGAGTAATAGTGTCGAATTACCAATACACGTAAACACAATATATTCATGTCGAATTACCAATACACGTAAACACAACTGCAGGCAGAATGCATCTAGAAATAATTTGGTAAATATTCCGATTTCAAGACCTAGTCGTCAGAATA